GGCTTGACAACAGAAGTTAGGGCTGTCAAAGGGGCTGCGGTCTGGCTATAATTGCGGATAAACCGTCTGTAAACGTTTGCAAAGCCCAGGAACCGCTGCAGTTGTTTCCTGGTGGTAGGGGTAGGCCACTCCGTCACTGCTTGGACCTTATCAGGATCCACCCTCAACCGTCCACTCTCTAAAACAAACCCAAGAAACTTAACAACAGACACATGAAATTCACATTTCTCGGCTTTCACAAAAAGTCTGTTCTCCAGCAGCCGTTGGAGTACCATCCGAACGTGTCTTTTGTGTTGGGCCATGGGCCTAGAGAAAATCAAAATATCGTCAAGATATACAGTCACAAAGTCATTTATGTAGTCCCCCAACACAGAGTTCACAAGTCTCTGAAACACCGCTGGAGCATTAGTGAGACCAAAGGGCACCACTAAATATTCAAAGTGCCCCAGAGGTGTCTTAAAAGCAGTCTTCCATTTGTCACGTTGGCGAACCCTGACCAAATGGTACGCGTTGCGGAGATCCAACCGCGTAAAAACTGTGGCATCCTGCACAGGTTCAAAGGTAGACGAAAGCAGAGGAAGCTGGTACTTGTCCTTTACTGTTATTTGGTTTAAACTCCTGTAGTCTATACAAGGGCGGAGCGACCCATCTTTTTTGGCCACGAAGAAAAAAACCAGCTCCCAGAGGTGAGGTGGACGGCCTGATTATGCCATTGGCCAATGCCTCGGTGATGTACTGTCTCATACTGTCCTGTTCCGGCTTGGACAGACAGCAGAGGCGGCTGGTTGGGAGCGGAGCTCCTGGCAACAGGTCGATACCAATGTCAAACAGACGGTGAGGTGGTAACGTGGCTGCTTTATCTCTGCTAAACACCTGCTGTAAATCATGGTACTCACTTAGTACCTGGGTGAGATCTGGCGACTCCCTAATAGTCTTTTCAGAGTCCTTAGATCCAGCTGCAGCAGAGGTTAAGCACGTTAGAAGACACTCTGGACTCCAGGATCTTAACACGGTTAGACCTCCAGTCTAAACACGGGTTGTGTTTCCTAAGCCAGGAATGGCCTAGAACTACTTGGTTCTGCGGAGAGGGAAACACAGTGAGGTCGTCTCTGTGTGGTTACCTGAGACCTGGAGCTGGAGTGGTTCGGTCCGGAGAGTGATGGTGGACAGAGACCTCCCGTCTAGGGAGGACACAGTTAACGGTTCCAGCAGTGGAACCGCAGACAGACCCCAATCCCGCACCAGTTGCGGGTCCACCAATGACTGTTCACATCCAGAGTCCACAAGAGCAGTCGTCTGGTAGCGACGACCGTTAACAGTTAATGCACGGTCTATAAGAAAACGGGAGGTTTCTTTACCTGACTGACTGCCCACCAGAACTCCCGGAACTAATGGTGGGCACGCCTTTTTGACGCCGCAGGGCAGGATTGCACCATGTGTCCTGGTTTACCACAGTAAAGGCACAACCCCTTACTATAGCGATGATGGCGTTCCTCTGGAGTGAGATGGGTACGTCCCACCTGCAAAGGCTCCTCGGAGGAGTCCAGAGGAGGAGACCTATAGGATGGGCGATGTGCTGGTGGTGGTGACAGATCCCTGGAAGATGTCTTCAGAAGCTCCCGATGTCTCTTATCGATGGAGATGCATAATGTGATCAACCCGTCCAGAGTTGGTGGTTCGGGGCAAAGAGCCAGCTGGTTCTTAACCCTGTCGTTTAAAGCCTCGATGAAAACTGCTTTGAGAGCTTCATCCCCCCATGATGTCATCGCAGCCAAAGTCCTGACCAAGGATCGATCCCTGCGGGATCCCCCAGCGGAGCCCCTCTTTATTTCTGGAATAAATTATATGTAATCAGAACATTTGTCAAAATATCCTTGTCATTTTCATGCTTCATCCATAATTTATGCACTGAATGTTCCTTTCACTCAGGTGTTTACTTCATGGAGATGACCAAAACAAATGCTTTTGTCTTTTAATTATATAAAAGCAGCACAGTAGAAACCTGCTGAACGAACAGAGGCAACACACTAAAGTGACATATTTTAAATAACAACCAGGAGATATGGTTTCTGCTTTGGTCATTGCTCTGAACACTTTGACCTTTGACTCCTAGAAGGAAAACATCAGATTACTGGAAACAAAAGACGAGGTCGTCACACCTAATGTTATAGGACCTAAGATAAGTAATGCTATCTGCAAGACAGAAAAAAAGAGTTTTAAATTATGAAGTCAAAGTAAAACTAACCATGTGCTGGAAGAATAATCCACAATTTATTTTGGATCAACCTAACCTGACTTTTTCAGCAGCTTTAGTTCCATAGACCAGAGTGTTTCCACCTATTTTGAGCCATGATATATTTTTTAAATTTGAAAGAATCCAACAACAAACAACCAAAAAAAAAAAGCTTCATGAAATTGCACTTGTTAGTTAAATAATGATAATATGGTTTCCCAATTAATTTGCATTAACTTAGTGTGAAACCTGGGCCATTTTTTATCTTTCTTTTTACACCAAATACTGCAGCAATTTCCTAGAGTTGTGATTGTCACACATATGGCAATAAAACCCTTGTGATTTTAAGATGATCTCAAAGCTGATATCCTGGTAGGAATTAAAGCTGTCATGGTTAAAGAGCTCAGCTTACTCGTTTGTTGTGGCAAACAGGAGTAATGTTAAAATTTTTAACTGACAGAATGGAGAAGTCGTTTGCAGAAGTCAACCAGAAGCTGTCCAAATGTAGGTCAGCAACATTTAGCTTAAACCACAACCTATTCTCAGTTCAGTTGGTTCTTCTTGATCTTGTAAAGACATGTCCTTCACAACAATACTGTAGATGCCGGTCTCTAATCCAGTCAACGGATTCTGTAAAGACTGAAGGAAAATCAAAAGAAAGTTTTTAATCCAGAGATTTTAAATGTTTACCTTTTGTCTCACAGAGCAGCGCTGGACTGGTGATGTCTTTCCATGTCGTGGTGATCGGGAACGTGTCACAGTTGGCCCATTCCACATGCTGTTGCCAGAGCTTCAAATTTTATTAGTGCTAGTCAGCTAGTTTTCATTGCAATCTTGCATTAGTGTGTTTGGTTCATTTTGATGTATCTGATGCATTCTGATATGTCTGCCAGGTATGTCAGCATGTCACAACAATCATCACTTGCAAGAAACTTTGTGAAATTGGTCCTCTCATTTGTTTCGAAGGCTCGCTGATTCACCTTTGTGTTTTTTCTCCTAAAACCTGTCTGCTTTTCTTTGCTCTAATGCAAGCAAACAAAACAATCCGTGTGTTTATTTGACTCTGTCAGATGTTTCGTTTGGAGACGGTGTTAAGTTTACTTAGGACCACTGCACTGTTGGAGAGTGTAAAGTCCAAAAGGGTCAATTTTCACCTATATATTGACCCAACATAGTGACCTTTCATCTACAGCATTAATCCACTCTCTATTTGGCCTTCCAGAACCAGAAGGTTCTGTTCAGCGCGTGTTGAAATTCCATGAAGACAAAACATTCAAACAAACATTCTCTCCCAAGGTGCTACACTCTCTGCATGAATGCCAGATGTCAACATTCTTCACCCTCAACAAGTGAAGTTTCCATGACTTTGACAACTCATAAGCTTAAATAATCATGTAAGATGAATGAACTAGATGTTTAAATCAAATGTTTGAATAGTCTTTGCTTAAATCAATGAATTTGAAATGAATATTGTTCTGACAATGGTCCATTTATATCACAAATCACTATGTGTTCGATTTAACAAGTTAATCATTATCTACACTCAATCACATCTTCATAAGATACAAATTAAGGTTAAGGTTCACCTCACATAACGTTTAAAGATTCTTTATTCACAGAATTAAGAATCTTGCATCTGAAGGAGGGTGTGGCTTTCTGAGGGATGTCGGTAAATACTCAGAAACTTGTCAAATTCTGATTTGCCAGAATACGCCAGAAATCATAACATTGTGGTTTAATAAAACAGGATTTACTTCCCGATTAATTCAGTTTCCAGCTGAATACCGATTCGGCCAAATCGGGAAAGAAGCCTAAATTGAAACAATCTCCTTTGACCTTAAGTCAAAGCCTCTCTGCAACGCTGCGGCTGATACCAGACAACTGGCTCTCTAGGAGCCAAGCAAACATCTGCCTTAGATGCAAATAAGCATTCCAATTTTCGGCCTTCACCTCGAGGGATGTCAGACTGGACAGGTCTTATTGGAACTATTCCTGATATCAGAGTTCACTCCACCGGCAGTGACCATCGACCCCCGGAACGAACGAGAACCTCCACACCAAGGGTGCGTAGACTTGGCACGACAGATTGTGTCTGATGCTGTTTTTAATACACAACTCTCTAGTTTAGAACCAAACAACAAATTCTTTTACACCCAGATTTCACTATTTCTCTCAGATACAAAGAACGGTTGCTACAACATATAGCTTCCCTCACAACACCTTGCATCCACCACATCGTATCTCATTAATCATATCTTGTCATGTATACATTATTAGATTAGGAAAAAAAATTAAATTCATTTTATAAACTATTTACTGAGCTTTTTGCCACATCCCTGGTGAAACGTAGCTTAGGCCGTACTGACCTAAGCTCATGGAAAATGTTCAACTCTGTGGATTCTTATCACAGCTCTTCAGTTCATGTTGTCCCTCTAAGTGAATTTGTTTTAATGACAGAAAATTTAACTGGCTGAACTAAATATTTTCTTAGAAAACCCCATCAGGCTTTTCTTTCCAACATGGTCCATCAGCACCAACCTGCTGGGTTGGAGACACAAAGAGTCAGATGGTGAAGTCAGATATGTTAAACTGCTTCAGATGTGCTTGCAGCTCCTGACCCACCCTGACCAGTCCCAGTACTAACTGGCACTCTTTAGGTTAGGGTTGGGTGTGTTTGCCCCACAGTGTTAGTCTTTATCTAATCAGCTGTCATCAGTGACTGACAAGTCTAGCAGGTGGAGCAAAGGTATATAAACTCTTTGTTTAGTTCAGGAAGGCATCCTTCATCCAGCAACTGCTGCTCCTGCTTGGATTCATCACAACAAGGTGAAACCTGACTTCTATTTATCTGCTGTTATTGGTAGTGATGGATATCCATGTCAGATGTTTTATAATAGTATGTTAGTGTGGATTTCCTTCCTGAACACTAAAAAAACACATTTCACCCAGATGGCGTCAGGTCTCCTCTTCCTGTTGCTCCTCGGGATCGGAGGAAATGTAAGTTTGCAGAAGTTCTTGTTTAGTTAAATAAATCAACATTATGCTGACTTTTGTTGGATTTATTTTCTCATTATAACCTGATGAGAAACACACATTAAACCAATGAAATGTGTATAAAATAAACCAAAATATAACTAATAATTGAATGCACAGAGACAATCTTCCTCATGACTCAAGGTCTTTATTAACTTTAATTAGCTTGTACAAAAGCTGGATGCAACATGTTATCTTTGACAGAAACAGGTGTGTTTGGTAGTTTCATCAGAGAGGATGGGACAGACAGGTGAGTGTGTGTGAATGGCTGGAGGGTAGGCTTGAAACACCAGGAGACAGAGCGTCACAGTGTAGGGGCTTGCTGCCTCTTAGAAGGATGGATCAGTTGGAACGTTACTTAGTGCATTATTAAGCAGTAATAAACTATTTACTGAAGTATTAACTACCAAATCCACATTATGTAATAGATTACTAGGCAGAAAATTACATTCCTACCCTCACCTATGGTCTCGAGCTTTGGTAGTAAAAAACGAGACAACTTGCCAAAATGAGTTTTCTTTGCAGGGTGTCTGGGTTCTCCCTTGGAGATAGGGTGAGAAGCTTAGTCATCCGGCAGAGGCTCAGAGTAGACCCGCTGATCCTCTACATCAAGAGAAGCCAGTTGAGATGGCTTGGGAATCTAGTCAGGATGTCTCCTGGACGCCTCCCTGCTGAGGTTTTCTGGGCACGTCCAAGTGGGAGGAGACCCAAGGGAAGACCCACATGCTGTAGAAACCATGCCTCTTGTCTGGCCAGGGAACACTTTGGGATTCTCCTGGAGAGGCTGGCCCAAGTAGCTGGGGAGAGGGAAGTCTGGGCCTCTCTGCTTAGGGTGCTGTCCCCACAACTCGACTGAGGATAAGCTGCTGAAAATGGATGGATGATCCAGTTTTTGACTCTTTGTACTTTTACCTCCACAGATATATTGTGAAGCGGCACCACCAAGTAAGTAAGGGAATAAGTAGGTCTTTTTCTTATTTTCCAGCAGCAGGTTTTCAGATTAATGCATCATGATTAACTCTCTTTTGGCCGTCCATGAAAATGGTGACACTAACAGTCTTTCCTTCCTGTTTGTGTAGTTTGTCTTCCATTCTTCTGCAGACGTTGTCCTCCTGGGTGGACTAAGTATGACAACAACTGTTACCAGTTCCAGAACCAACAACTGGAATGGGCCAAAGCTGAGGTACAGCTGATAGAACAGTTGTATTAGTGTGATGCTCTGATGTAGATTTTTAGTTTAAAAGCCTTAATCTCCTTTTTATTTACAATTCAGAAAATTAAAAAGGAGGTTCCCATCAGAACTATCTAGCTCAGCTGGGTGTCTTATTTCATCTTTCAGACATTCTGCAAAAGACATGGTGGACACCTGACCTCCATCCAAGACACAGATCAGTACAACTTCATCAGGGAGCTGATCTTCAAAGGAGCAGGAACAAACCAAAAGTCTTGGGTTGGAGGCACCAATGCAGGCTGGGTGAGTTTAGTCAAGTGTATTATATTGATCACAGGCACTGATGGTTAAAAACTTGCTGCTGGTTTTTGTAAAAAGATTTATCTGAGTTAATATTGAACACATCTGAGTGAGCTGCTGCTCCAAAAACATTTATCTACACATAAAAACTAAGAAGTAAACTTGACTCTGAATCACTTTCTTACAGGTTCATATGTGGAGGTGGACCGATGGAACACCGTTTACTTTTGACTCCTGGGGTCCAGGTGAACCCAACAACCAAGGTGGAAACGAGCACTGCATGGACATGAACCTGTTTGGTACGAGATGACCTGTTTATTAGACTGCTGGTTAGGATTAGTTTAGATCAGCTGTTAATATCAGAGCTAAAAACAGGAGATGAATGCTATTTGTAGCAGATGAAGTCACATGATCCCACATTGGTAACAGTTTTTTTTTCTTGTTTCTACTTTTATCAAGAAACAAAGATCAGATTTCTGACTTGATTGTCTCTTTTTTCTTTCTAAGGACAAGATTATGTCAACGATGAAGACTGCTCCCAACAGAACTCCTTTGTCTGTATTAGACCATCGAAATACATCTTTGAACCACAAGACTGATTTAAAATGAATTACAATGAAAACACAAATAAATTGATGTTCTCATCAGTCTGACATTTGTTCCTTCTGATTATTGGTTTGATGTTTCTAAATCTATATTAAAAGTGAGTCTTAAACATTCAAGCCTGCCAGAATTAGATTTGTAGAAGTCACATGTGGAGCATGGATGCTAAATTCAAGATAATATTTAGATGCTAACTCAGCACTTCTTGCCCCTCTTGATATTCAAAATGTTATTTCACTTTTTTTAACGTTCCATATCATGAAAAGTAAACTTTTTTACTATGTGATGTCATTTCCTCGTGAAAAAACCCCTTTGGCTGCATTCATGCATTTCCCTTCCTCAGCTTCAATTTTCCTATTTTTATGAAGCCTGCAAATGGGACAAAGTAGCCCAAGTGTGTCATTGGGCATTTCTCCTCCCCCAGATGCTAGTCGCTACTCTGGAAGTAGGTCACTAACATCCACCTCATCTGAGTTGTTAGTGTAGAGCAGTAGATTTCATGCTGCAGTTGACAATCATCAGCAATCGGAGGGAAATTGACCTTGTGCTTCCAAAGAATCAAACCAAGGGGCCCCAGATAGAGGGAAAACAGCAAAGGAACCAGAACAGACCCCTGAGGTCCCCTCAGGAGAGGCTGGCACTGGAAGAAGAAAAGTCACCCAACTTCACGCAGAAGCTTCTCCCTGAGAGATAGGATCTAACCCACTCCAGGGCACGTCCAACTATCCCCACCTACTTCTCGAGCTGAGATAGCAATATAATGTAGTCCACAGTATTGAAATCAGCTGAGAGATCTTATAGTAGCAGAATCACAGAATCTGCTGAGTCATTGTCTAAGAACACATCATTTTAAATCTTTAAGAGAGCTGATTCAGTGCTGTGCCCAACTTTAAAACCAGACTGGAACATCTCCAGACACCCATGCTCTTCCAAAGATACCATCAGCTGCTGGTACACACACTTCTCAAGCACTTTAGGAAAGGAAGTTGTGACACAGGCCTAAAATTAGCCAAGTCTGACAAATTGAGGCCTGATTTTTTTCAACAAAGGTAACACCACTGCATGCTTGAAAGAGAATGATACTACACTCGCCTGCAGGCTACTATTGATAAAAGCCAAAACAGAGGGGCTCAGTGTGGAAAAGGCCTCCGTACATAGCCTAGAAGGCAAGATGTCCACAGGAGAGCCCAATAGCAATATTCTGCAGACCACATCCTCCAACTCAGAGAGACTTATTTGCTGAAGAGACTCAAACTTGTCAACCGGAGGTAATACAACTGATGAAACAAAAGCCGGGGGTTTAATCCCGGCTCTTGTGTCTGCTACTCTGCCCACAAAGAAGTGGAGAAAGTCATTACATGTAATGAATTTTAATGACAGAAGGCTCAGGGACTCTGGAATCAAACATAGACGACAAAGAATCAATGGTTTTGAACAGGATGCGAGGGTTCCGAGGATTGAATGCAATGCTATCAGTAAGGAAACTTTGCTAATTTCCCTCCTTTCTGGTAGTCTGGCCAGCATTGTTTTAAGATTTCCTGTGACACCTGTAACCTGTCCTTCCTCCTCTGCCCTCTTGGACCCCCGCCTGAGAGCCATTGTCACAGAATTTAGCCAAGGCTCAGCCCTTCACCTGCGTGGCTTCATGCAGGCAGGTGCAACTTTGTCCAAAGGGTTGTTGTGATTTTTACTCATGACAAAATAGTATGAGTTGATCAGTAAACAGTGTAAGGCAGGGGTGTCCAACTCCAGTCCTCCAGGGACAGTATCCTGCATCTTTTTGTTGTTTCCCTGGTCCAACACTGTTGATTCACCTGTGCAGCAGCTCATCAAGCTCTCCAGAAGCCTGTTGATTGAAATCAGTTGTGCTGAAAAAGGAAAAACACTAAAACATGTGGGATAGCGGCCCCCGAGGACTGGAGTTTGACACCTGTGGTTTAAGGTAACTCCTATGCTGCACAGAAACACAACTCTGCACAACAACTGGGGTGTTGCTGGATGTTTTGTGCAGTTATATGGCTTTTTGGGAGGCATAAATATGATTAAAGGAGGCACTTAACGACCAGATCAAGGATCAATTGGCCTTTTGCCAGGAACCCACAGACCTCGATGCACTCATAGCCCTGGCCATCCGCATCGACAAGAGGCTGTGTGACCGCAGCAGGGGCAGTCTCTTGGCTCCTACCCCAGGCTACTGGACACCCCTCGTCCCTCCTCAGGCTTTTGAACCCGTCTCCTAGATCCACCACCTTCTCCCGACAAGCCCACACAGCTCGGTTGGACACAGTTATCATCAGAAGAGAGAGAACAACACCTAAGAGGGGGCCTGTCTTGTGGCCTCCCTGGCCATCTCATCCCCAACTGCCCAAGTTGGTTAAACTTCCCCACCCGCCAGTAGGTCCGAGGTTACTGGTGGGCGGCTCAGTCAAAGACTCTGATCCTCGATGTTTACTGTCATGTACCCTAGTCTGGAACAATCACTCTTTGGCTTCTTCTTCATTGTTAGATTTAGACTGTGATTAAAGTTTGTTGGACCAGGTGCTGGTGGAGAAATTCAGGATTCCCGTGACGCTCCTGGCTACGCCCCTCCAGGTCTCCTCTCTTGACGGCAGTCCCCTGAATCCCATCACGCATCAAACTGTCCTGGTGAAGTTCATGGTTTACGGTAATCACTTGGAGGTAATGTCGTTTCTTGTCTTCCATTCCTTCCGGGCTCCTGTAGTACTGGGACTCTCCTGGTTGTCTGTACATAACCCCCACGTTAACTGGAAAACTGGTCACATAGAGTCCTGGAGTCCATTTTACTTATCACAGTGTTTACAGTCAGCTGTCCTCACGGCCCGAACTCCTGTTGTAAAGTCATCTGCTCCACTCGATTTGACTACTGTACCCAGGGAATATCATAACTTGCATCTGGTGTTTTCTAAGGACCGTGCAGCTTTCCTACCACCGCATAGACCCATGATTGTGGCATAGATTAACTTCCTGATTACACTCTCCCCTCTGGCCGTCTATATGATCTGCCCAGGCCAGAGAGAGAATGTATGGACAGATACATATCTGAGTCCCTAGTCACAAGCATCATTAGACCCTCCACATCCCCCCTTGAGCAGGGTTTTTCTTCGGTTCCAAAAAATAAGGAATGTTACGCCCCTGCATTGATAACAGAGGACTGACCCAAATTACAATAAAGAACAAGTACCCTCTGCCCCTCCTTTCCTCTACCTTTGAACCAGCACAGGATTCTACCATTTTTACCAAATTGTATCATCATAGTGCCTATCATTTGGTTAGAATCCAGGAAGGCGACCAGTTGAAGACTGCTTTTAAAACACCTTTGGGGCATTTTGAATACCTACTGATGCCTGTTGGTCTTACTAATGCCCCTGCGGTCTTCCAGTTGCTGGTTAAAGCAGTTTTGAATGATGTTTTGAACACTTTTGTGACAGTTTACTTGGACAATATTTTAATTTTTTTCCAAGTCCCTCGAGGAGCATTGCAACCATGTCTGAGCGGTTCTCCAGCGTCTCCTGGAGAACCCGCTACATGGCAAGGCAGAGAAATGTGAATTTCATGTGAAAACAGTCAAGTTTCTTGGATTTTTTCTAGAAAGCTTGCGGCTGAAGGTGGATCCAGACAAGGTCCAGGCAGTGCTCCATTGGCCCACCCCAACGTCACGCAAGCATTTACAGCGGTTTCTTGGATTTACAAACTTCTATCGCCGCTTCATCCATAATTACAGCTAAACAGCAGCTCCCCTCACACAGCTCACCTCCATCAAGCAGCCATTTCTTTGGACACTAGAGTCAGAAAAAGCCTTCCAGGAATTAAAAACCAATTTCACACCCAGGCACCCATCCTCACTCGCCCTAACCCCCTACAGCTGTTCACATTGGAAGTGGATGCCTCAGAGTCAGGAGTAGGGGCTAGCTTGTCCCAGATTTCTCCCTCTAACCAGAGACTCCATCCCTGTGCCATCTTTTGTCTACGCTTGTCCCCAGCCAAGCAAAACTATGATGTTGGTGATCTGGAGCTATTGGCCATCAAGCCCTCCAGCCAGTGCCTCCATTCCTTGGAGGCACAGGCTGGAGGGAGTCACTCATCCCATCATAGTCTGGACTGATCATAAAAACCTTGCTTACCTCAAGGAAGCCAAGATTCTTAACCCTAAGCAAATACGTTGGTCTATGTTTTTTCTTGTTGCAACTTAATGATTTCTTTCAAGCCTGGTACTAAGAATGTCAAGCTGTTTGCCCTGTCACGTCAATATGCCCCGGACCACCATCCCACAGCATTCTTTCTGGGTTCTGGGACATCAAGAACAAGGTTCTGGAGAACCAGAGGACAGAGCCCGATCCCGGTAACGGACCACCTAACGGGCTCTTTGTTCCCATCAGGGCAAAGGGTCCGATCATTCAATGGGCTCATACTGCCAAGTTGTCAATGCACCCGGGAGTGGGGAGAACTATCAGCTTATCCGGTGGTTCTTCTGGTGGCCTTTCCTTGACATGGATGTCAAGAGGTATGTAAATGCTTGTCATACCTGCTCAAGCAATAAAAGCAGCAACCAGTCCCCCTATGGTCTTCTCCACCCACTTCCCATACCTTCACGGCCCTGGTCTCACATTGCCCTGGACTTCGTTACTGGTCTCCCTCCATCTCATGGGTTTTAGGTCATCCTCACAGTCATTGACCATTTTTCCAAGGCCTGTCACCTGATTCTTCTCAAGACCCTCCCTTTCTCGGTGGACACGGCCACACTCCTCGTCAAACATGTATTTTGCCTCCATGGAGCTCCCACAGAGATTCTGTCATATCGTGGCCCCCAGTTTGTCTCCAGAGTGTGGAAGGAATTTGCCTTCAATCTGGGGGCCCATGTCGCCCTTTCCTCTGGTTTCTACCCACAAACAAATGCACACTGTGAAAGACTAAACCAGGAACTGGAGGCAGTACTTCGATGTGTGTTTGTCCATGCCCTCAACCTGGAGAACCCAGCTGGCCTGGATCGAATATTTCCACAATGCCCACACCTTCTCCTCCACGGGTCTTT